GTGCCGTCTATAACGAGTTTGTTGGGGACAAACCTCCCACTATTTTTTTCCCTTCTCCCGGTCCATGTCATCTTATGATGTCTTCATTTCCAGCAATGTCGATTCTGGCGTTGGTGTTTATGTCACTCGTCAGGATTGTCGGGCTTTTTCCTGAACATTTTTTACAGCTGACCGCAGCCTCTGATAAAACTAATCTTTATCTCCTCCACTGCTATCATTGAGGCGCTCATGGGACTAAGTAAAATTATGGTAATTTCCCCCGTTCTTCGTTTCGAAGGATAGTTTGATGATCCTGGATCCATGAGATTTCCATCCCATAAGTTCTTTTCATACTTTTGGGACAGTATCAGCATAACTTCTCGTGTATGTGAAGCATTCTCCTCTTCTTAAGAGAGTGCAATGTCACCCCTCCCAAAGTTAATTCTCTCTGTCTAAATTGCATCCAATGGGTTTCACTAATTCCAGAGATCACCAGGTATCTTAACTCTTCTAGGTGGAGACACTCCAACTTCCGGGGCAGAATCGGTTATTTAAACAGGTATTTGCCAGCGTACTTTTGTCTCCTACATGGTGAGGTTGCTGAACTCATGCTCCACCCTCCTCCCTTGCCCACGCATGCAGAATCCGTGGTAGATCTTCAGGCGGAGTTATGATTTATTTACCTGGTGCGTTCTGTATGCGTTCTGTACGCAGATATTTTGTTTCGAATATTCTGTTATGTTCCGTGAATCGTTTTGATTTAGTTGGAACAAGGGTTAGTATGTGTCAGGTCTACATCCACTTTTTGGAGCACAATACACCAAAATTCGATTACCTCTTAATCCATATTATGATATAATATAAAGGTCTAACTTCTCATGTGGTACTGTGTATGATAAGCCACAGAATTATATTTGCACGGGTAGCTGCAATTTGTACTTTACCAGGATATCCAACCCATCTTTTCAATAATTGCTTGCATCCTGAATGCAGCTTTCCATTTTGGATCTCTCTGAGGTTGTGTACGCCATGGTGAACATGTGTGTGTCCGAATCTATAGATATCCATCTTAATGCCTATGATGTTCTGAGCCGCTTAGAAGCAATTACACAGAACTGAGCCGTGTTCCTGAGGTCATTGCTCATCATTACCCTGGATTGTTGTGGAACACGACGTTGGAGAGACGCCCTCTCAATAATTTAGTTATTTCCGTTCTTTACATATGCATGTGCTTTCTGTCACGTTTCAAATGCTTCGAATGTTTTTGGACGGAATAGAAGAAGCTTACGCTCGACAAGCCTCCGTATTTAGTAGCAGTGGTTCCCCATTACCTTCGGGCTGGAATTCGGGTATATTATCGATTAGAGAGGAAAAGGAAACAACTTGGTAAATCATAGTAAGATAATATCTTTAGTCCTTAAGAATATGTCAAGTTTTCTCTCAAAAATCTCCTGGGAAGTCGCTTGTACTAGCTCAGCTCGCAGCGGATTCTGGCATTTAACTACTCATAAGGTGTAAAAGTTTTTTCTGCAGTTCGTTCTGATGAGTTGTACCTCTAGTTTCTAAGCGTTACCCTTTATGTTTGTTCTGGAACTAGAATTAAGTAGGTGTTTAAGATGTCGGAGTATTTAAGATGCTGTAAGCCATTAGAGGGCCACCTCTAAGGCGCATGTACTCTGATGGATAAAGACTCAGTGATTAAAGGCACTCTTCATAAGGCTTGAATTTGAGTCCCTGAACTGATTTCGTGGTTCGCAGTTGGGTACGTTCCAGACTGTCCTCATCCTTTTGGAGTGAGGGAGGAAATACTGTTTCCGTGCTCTAAATGAGGACGAATGAAACTGTTGAAGATTAATGTGTGGGCGAGAATGACAATGATTGGTTGTCTCGATGAGTCAGACATTAGATAGGATGACAGGTATTATGTGTTATATATATTCCCCTATCCTTATTATGTATTAACTGCTCCTTGTTGATGGACGCTTGTTGTTGGATACTTATTGATTGACTGTTCTTTGTGTCGGATTTTGGTGTGAAATATATTGACGTTATAGTCAGGCTAATCTCGTGTTCGTGATCTGAGTTCTGTTGAAGTCCTGTAGAATAGACACTGGGTGGGAATCTAGTGTAGCTATTCTTCTAAGATAAATTAACGTCCCAGATACGTGTAAAAAGTAAAAGGACCGTTATAACCAGAAACCCCTAGAGTTATAACAAGCATCCTCTCCTTTAAGTTTGTAACAAAGATTATATGGTCAGTTCTTCTATGAAACTGGCCAAAATTGAGCCTCAATGTTACCAGTGCAAGGCTTACTCGAAAAGCATTTTTGTCGTGGTTGGCGTAAAAGTTCAAATTTTAGGATACCGAACACTCCCAAATCTTTTCAACTTGAGATACTTCTAGAAGGGAGTTGCCTAGGTCGTAGCTGTAGTTTGCAGCGCGTCTCAGACGGACTTTGAAGTATTAAAGTTAAATCCGTTGTCTTCTGCACAGCTTCTAAGTCAAGTCAGATCCTGCTGAAGTGCTAGTATATCCTCTTGGTTGCTTGTCGCTCTCCAAAGTTTCATATCATCAGCAAAATGTAATAAGTCAAATTATACCTGTTGTAGAAGGTCGTTTATGTAAAACAAGAAAAGAAGAGGTCCTAGTACTGAACCCTGATGGACCCCACTAGGACATTCCATAGCCTGAAAGAAAGCGAGGTTAATCCTAACCTTAAAATGTCGATATTTTAGATATGAAGTCAGTCGGTCAGTCAAAGGTGATTTGATGCGTAATCTTTTTGTGGTGTGGTCTAGTTATATCCATATAAGTAGTATATGGTGTGGGTCAGACATAGAATGTATTTTCGCAGAAGACCGATGAGCAAAGAACTGAAATGAAGCGCAATCGTTTGGAAAATGCATGAGCAATGGAATTAGAGAAGAAACAGTGAAGATTGAAACAATTGGTTGTTAATTTTCAAATTGGCTGTTCATTGCTTGGTTATCAGAATTTACCGAGATAGTCTGTAATGTTTGCTAAAATACATTCGATTGTCCCCAACCAGTGTTTTGTTCACTACATTTGGTGTCGCTGCCAACCAGGAGGAGGAAGGGTGCTGTTCTGTGGACGCCGCTGCGGGTCAGGAGTTGAGGTGCTAGTTGGGGCAGTCTGGTGCGGAGAGGTGACGTTGAGTGGAGTGTTCTGGCGGGGCATGAACAATGAGATCAGATAAGATGTACTGATATTTACAGGAGGAACAATCAAGAGTGAGACAATTGATCGCTATTTTGTAAATTAACTGTTCACTGTATGGTTTTCAGAATTTAGTGAGGTAATTTATGCTTTAGTACATCCGATTGTCCTCACTTGTGTTCTTGTTCACTACAGTTTGAGCTTATTGATAAAACACATATGGTTGACCCTATTAAAAGCCGGTGAGAAGTCAAAGTAAATGATGCCAACCTTCTTCTTGCAATGAAAGATGCTTGTCAAACAGCAACGAATTTTCTCCTATCAAGCGTCTCCGCTCATCGTTCTCTGATTTTTAGTGGGTTGATCGTGTACGACCGTTATATACGAAAATCATGTTTCCCACTGTCTAACGAGTTGTTGGTTTTCACGAGCATCGTAAGCTTTTTGAGGTTTGGTTCCAATATTTTTACTAGAAATGCGGTGACAGTGGCAGGTTTTCGGTTTAATGTAGTTTATCTTGGTCTTGTTTGGTGAATTAAAGTGACAGTCACTTCTTACTTGTTACAACTAAACCACTGTGACCGAGGGACATCTTGGCTACCATGGTGAGCAGGGCGGCAAGAGATAGTGAAACTACCGAAATGATTCTAGGGTTTAGCTTAAGGATGCCACAGGTATTCCCAGTCGGACAACTGCTTTACACATAACACCTTTATAATCGCAGTATGCCAACCCAGTGAGGTAAGAAATCACAAGCGAAGAGGTTCAAAAATATGTTTGATAGAATATTGATTTATAGAAAACTGATTAGTTTAAGCTGACTAACAGTTGCAGGAGATGATTAGCACGTCATATACACTCATGATCTGGTGCGGATGCGTGACAGACCGTCTTCTGCCAGGTGAGTCCATAAAAACTAATGCGGTTGGCGCCAAATGTCGAAAACTTACAAAACTTTATTTTTGGGTCTGCCTCTAACTTGATTGTATGGTGAGGTCAGTGCAATAACGATTTCATCTACATCCGCATACAACCGCCGAATTGGTGTGAGTTATGGGATAACGGAATGAAATACATCGAACACGAGAATGAATATTGGGTACATATATTTCATACACTCGTTGTCTCAGGCAGACAATAAGAGAAACGAAGCGGAGAAACAGGCCGTTAAAGACAAATATGTAAACGAACCATATCACTTTTTATGAGCGTCACAACAGCCTAAATTAGATAATGCTTAATATGGAAAAGAGAAGGGCACTTGACAAAATAATGAGTGACAGACAAACACACACAGGTAAACACAACGTATGTATACAATGACACAAAAATAAGACGTGTATGTGTTAAAGGTAGCAATTTATCACGAAGATAGGGTTATTATGAAGGCAAAAATGACTCAACATTACATACTATTTGAGTTATTAAGGTCTGTTCAAAATCTAGGATGAATCATGTTAGTGAGTGTTAGTACTAGACACTACAATTATGTCGGCTTGGTCGAAGTCAACACTGAGTGGTAAATACGGAAAGATTACTCCCAAAGCTAGTTCCCCATCTAGAGGAGTTTTGTAAATAAAAATAGTTCCTAAATAGTTAGCCTTTGATTCTCGTTTGTCCTGGTCCTTCTCTTTGACTTACAGTACATATCCCCACCAACACCCAATCTACAGGTGCATTATTATTCTGTAATTCCTTCTGAGACTCACGGATTGTACTTATAATTTTATTTATCGATTCGCTCTGTGAAACAAGCATTTTTAAACAGTCTTTTTTTTACAGCGTAAAGAGTTTTAGCCACAACAGCTCTACTTGTTTAAATGCATCACTCAAGTATAGTAAATGACTTGTCTGCTAGGTTTTGTTTTCTGATACATTATGAGATTGCGGTCGTCTATTCGCAGAGCGAGTAAGGTAATTAATCCATTTTTAAAAATATAAATAAGGTAAGTAAGTTTGGCATCTGATAGCCTCATTAAGCCGGTATTAGGTAGGGCATTGGATAAAATATTGTATCTATAGATACGCAATTTCCTTGTGCCCACCTTATCTCCCGGTTCCAAGGAAATTTTAGGGTTTTTCTTAAATATGGGTAATTAGCGATTTCTTTGGTTGTAACCTCTCACACTTTTAAAGGTACATGTATGCACTCAATAGCTTGCAAATCCAGTCTCATTGTTTCAACACATATAATAATCACTTTTCAAGATATCCGTTTAATATTTTTAGAGTTTAATGAGATTTATGACGGGTTGAATTCCGCCCGTAGGTTTTAAGGGCGACTATGTTTACAAGCGTAATCTGTAGTGCCTCAAAATACTCGTACACTGTCGTATTTTCTAATTTATATCCCTAACAAATAGAGGTTTAGTATTTTTTCAAGCTTCTTGTTGAACATGGCAACTATCACATTATCCTCCTGGTTATTTACTCTCCGACTTTGTATGCTATTTGGGATGCTGAAAGTCATAAATTCTTGGTGAAACTGATTTACGGACGACCTTTGAACGACGTCAACGTGACCTTGGGAGTGTCTACCTACTTACTGGGGCTAAATGAGCGTTATAAAGCAGTTTGATTTTATAATTCATTCTTAGAGTTAGGAATTAGATTTACGGTTTTTCATTACTAACTGACAGCTAAGATGCCAAGACTCTATTTGGCCAAATGGGTGAATAAATTTCATTCCGAAATCGAAGGCCTGTTATCCTAAATCTGATTAGTGCGTCCATAAGTCATAGTCCCACCAAATTCTTCGATATTCATCTAGGTAAATAAGTTTTCCCGCTGGTCGCATTAATACTTCAATAACTTCGGAAGTAATCTAAGTGGGGGAGTTTCAGCTTCTGTTTAGATCATTTTAGAAAGCACATTGTATTTAACTACAACAGCCGCCATATAGTTAAGGTTAATCCCCAAATGCCCTGGTACGTCCGAGAGTGGGCAGAGTCCGCTCTCCCTCTCGAAATGTTCTCACATGGCCACGCGTATATAGTTTCTGCTAGGAAAGTCCTACTCACTGCCTTCTCGTGGCATTACTGTTGTTTACGAAATTGAGAGGACGAAAAGTGAATGTCCGGCGCTATAACCGGGTTGGTGGATATGAAGGATCCACCTAGGGGGGTTGAAAACCCCTGATTCCAAACCAATGGTGCACATGGGCTCCAGTATCCTGAAGGAACAAATGGAGTATGAATCAATCGTTGGTCACCGGTTACCATGGGACTGCATCTTCTCACGATGCTTCACTGCCTTGGGGATTCGACCTTTAGGTCAAAGGCTCGGGGTGTGGCCCCCTAAGAAAACCATCTGCTTCAGTTTGGGCACCTGGGCAGTATCACAGCCCTCACACAAATCGAATGAGACTTGTGCAGCGCATATATATCTGGTGCTCCTTTGTACCGATATTTATTTATAGAATAAAAATAAAATTCACACCTAAACTCTTCTGAAACATAATGTCAAGTCAGTGCTTTCTTAGTTAAAGCAATTAACTTGATTGCGGAATTAAAAGTTTGAATATGAACTTGGTTTTGATATCTAAGTAGAATAACTTCTACATCCTATTTGATAAATTCCATCATAGACTGAGTTTTGATATGGCATGACCACTTGTTGGCTGCCAAAATAATATGTTCAGTATTGGGTGATTGGTATTAAACGATGCAATGACTGACTAAGCATGGGTCTACTTGCTTGTTAAATCCATTGTATTCAACTAAAAGACAAAAGACTTGGAAAATGCTCATAATCACGATCATTTTTTTATTGAGATAAAACATAGCTAGTATATAAAGATATGAATACAATTTTCACTGTGGAGTTTTGGCATGCGATACTATTAGGTCACTGACTACTTAACGGTTTCACAGTTTCAGACATCGGATATTTTTCTGCCTGTTATTGTAATTACGAGTAATATCTGTACAAACCAAGTTTACTAGGGCTCACGGTTTTGTTTTTTTGTAGACTTTTACATGTTTACAGGAAAGTAATAACGTCAAATTGAAACCCTGTGTTACCAGCGGTAACGTTCCCAGAAAGATCAAACGTAACATCTGTGAACCTAACCCAATAATTCCTAAAAATCCTCCATCGGTCCGTAAAAATGTGTCAGCAAGTAGACGGGTTAATAAAGGGAAGCAAACTTCTGTCATTCCAGAAGACCCTTATCTTTTTATAGACAATGATAGTGATGATTATAAAGAGAATGTTATTCCTAACAGTTCAAAAGACGTAACCAAAAAGTGCGCCAAAAAAACGCACTCAGAGGTAAAGGTGGCCAACCTCAAAAAATCAAAGTCAAAACAGTGGACTGCATCAACAGCATTCACCAAACAATATATCCCGTCAGGAAAACCTAATGACGCTAGATATGAAGATGCTCTGCATGCAAACACACCTGGATCGATCGTAACAGCTGTTCCACTTGTATCAAAGACAGTAAATCCTAAATCTGCCTCAACGTTTCCTGAATCCAACCAGCTAATTAGTCCAGGAGGTCTAACAACCTCTTGTTCATTCGCCAAAACGGCTTCTACTTATGCGGAAAGTAAAACAGTTTCTTTCAATTTTCCCGAAAAGGTTTGTAATTCCTGTCAGGTTACTAGTAGCGTCTCAAACACTCCTGAATTTAGGAGACGTGTTTCTATACATAATTTAGAAGAATCTATTCCAAGATATTCCAAAACAACACTGACTTCTTTAAATCCACAAATTGCCTCAACTCCAGCAATCTCTAATGCTAACACTGAGTTACTGACCTCCGTGGGATGTCATGCACTTGTTCCAACTCCGATAAATTATACCTCAATTAAAAGAAACGAAAATAGTCATGATGATTCCAGTCAAATTTTGGAAAGCCATGTGCCAAATAACTCGTCTTCCTCTTCTAATCCACATTCTGGTGCAACAAATAACGAAAGATCCTCTCAAGGTCAGATTATAGTTATTATTTTTTACTACACTATTTTGAATGCTTTAGAACTTATGTATGATTAAGCCACTTTGGTTTATACTTATAAATTATGAAGTCCAAGTTGCGCAATATATTGGTCACTCTTAAACCACATTAGATTCAGTCGTGTTTTGTTATAATATCCAAACTGCCAGTAGTAAATCCGAGTGCTTATTAATTTATGTTTACCGACCAGTCGTCAGTTCACAGTAGGCGGAATTTGTTCTACTCCATCATGCATCTCGGTATCTTTAATACATTGGAAAATTATGGGATGGATGAAATAGGTCTTCAACACTTCAAATCAGTTATGTAGCGGATCGTTTATGCTCTTGTTTCATTATATTATAAAGTAAATCAACGTAGTTACTCCAAATATCCTAATTGCTTCTAGGTTATTTGATGCGCTAAATGAATATTCTAAGTATTACATAAACTGCATGATACGAAGTTAACTTCTAACTGATTTATTGATTCTTTACTTCCAGACTTGAGCAAAGGATCTACTTCTAGCAGCGATCGGAGACGTAAACAAGCATCTGAGAGTGAAAGACAGGTTTGTAGATTCTTTATGCTGGTTTTTATAAATAGGGGATATTTGTAGGTTACAAGCATTTGATCAAAGGTACATTCGAAGTATTGCTCATGTATGTTGGGACCACCGAGTGAGCATGATATATCTGAAGCGTTACGAATTCACTAGTAGCGAACGGAACAAAGACACGTGACCAGAGACCGATAACTAGCTATACTGACGCGACCCAGACCCAGCTAACTAGAGTAAGAAGTCTAAGTTGGAGCGGGAAAATTATATTCCGTAGCAGCCAGAAACACAGCAATCAAATAAGGGAAAAAGTCAGGCGTATTTAAACAGCAACAAAATGTCCTTGGGCATCGTTAATAAATAGCACACACAAAGAAACAATGGACCAATAGCGTTTAAGATAGTTACAAGTGGGAAATATAATGTGAAGGTAATAAGAGCACGTTTGGCGCGAAAACAGCTAAATTCAAATTTCCAAAATAAAATTACAAAATTGAGCCACTGATCAAGTAAGTTCTGGGGATTTGCCATCCCCAACACCTCCCCCTTTTAATAACGCACATTCTTCGGGTCCACTTGCATTCTGACTGTCTTTCGCCGTTGGCGCAGTGACCATCTTCGGGACCGTAGGTCAACCTTTTGTGTTTCTTCATGCGTTGGGACTGTCGGCAGATTAAAGGTATCCAATAATACGTCCAGCGGAATCCTTACTTCGGTCGATGGGCGCTCTGGCGTTAACCGCTTGCGTAGTTGATTTCGATGTCTGGTCCACCTGTCCGCTCCCACCTCAACCTCGTACATGACTTCTCCTACCCTTCTAACCAGACGTGCTTCGATCCAAGGATCACGATTTGCTCTGTAGTCCCTATCAAATACTGGGCATTCAACGTTGTATGTGGGTAGCTTCCGGGACGTGGTTTGTACTAGTGGTGGTGTGGTTTTCGGCAGCATCAAGTTTTGGATGGTCCTCAACCGTCTTCCCATGAGGATCTCTGCGGGGGACTTCTGCTCCGGCAGCGTGTCGTTGGGGGTCGTTCTGTAGGCGAATAAAAAATTATGCAGTGTTTCCACTGGTGTCCCCTCCCCTTTTGACTTAATAAGGGCCTTCTTGAACGTATCCACGAACCTTTCCGCCTGCCCATTCGATTGTGGGTGATAAGGTGTGGCGCGAAGATGCCTGATGGTTAGGCGTTTGCAGAACTCTTGGAACTGCGCCAAGGTGAACTGCGAACCGTTGTCGGATACAATCACTTCCGGTAATCCGTTTCGTGCGAACAACTCAGTCAGATGTTTCAGAGTCTGGGTGGTCGTTGGTGGAGTGACGGGAACAATCTCCGGCCATTTTGAGAAGGCGTCGACCACGACAAGATAAGTGGTTCCGTTGACTGGACCGGCAAAGTCGACATGTATCCTAGACCAGGGATGCTCAGGCTGTGGCTATGGAACCGGCGGCACCTTTGCATTGAACTTTGCAGCTTGTTGACACTGAGCACATTTGTTCACTAGATCCACGATATGCTGGTCCATGAGGGGCCAGTAAGCATAGCTTCTGGCGATGGATTTCATACGCTTTATGCCTGGATGACCAATGTGGAATTGCTTCAGCATCCTCGGTCGTAGGGATTCTGGCACCACCACTATATCTCCAAACATAAAGCATTCATTTACGACACATAATGAGTCACGACGATGGTAAAGCGGCTCCATGTCACCGTCAAGTTTAGTTGATGGCCAGCCATTGGTGACGTAGTTCATCGCTTTCTTAATGATGGGGTCATTTCTGGAAGCAGTTTGTATCTCAGATTCTAAGACTGGCAAAGCACGAACAGCAGTTGTCAGGTAGCATTGCGCGTGGTCTTCTGTCGAAAGAGAAGCAATAACGGCATCTTCGTCGGTCGTAGAGTGTTCGCTGATGAGTCGTGACAATGCGTCTGCCTGACCAAAATGTTGGGTGCGTCGATACTGAACGTCAAAATCATAACCCAAGAGGATCAAGGCCCATCGTTGGAGACGGCTTGCAGAGTGGGCCGGGACGCCAGACTTCGAACCAAAAATTGCAAGGAGAGGCTTGTGATCAGTTAGGAGAGTAAATCTCCGACCATAAAGAAACTTGTGAAAACGACGCACTGCGAATACTAGGGCAAGAGCCTCCTTCTCTATCTGGCCATACTTCTTTTCTGCTGGGGTTAATGTTCGGGATGCATGCATGATAGCTTTCTCTGTCGCGTCGGGGAACTGGTGTGAAATAACAGCACCGAGCCCAAAGGCTGAAGCGTCTGTGGCCACGATGATTGGCAAAGACGGGTCGTAGTGCGTTAATAGTAGTTCTGAGCTAATAATTGTCTTAAGCTTACAAAAGGCATTTTCACACTCCTTTGTCCAGTTCCAGCTGATATCCTTATCCAGAAGATAATTCAGTGGGGCGCGTATGTCATGCATCGATGGAACGAAGGCTGAGTAATAACTAACCAATCCCAGGAATGATCGTAGAGTAGAGATATTGGTAGGTGTGGGCATAGTTCTTATAGCTCGAATGTTCTCGGGATCTGGTCTGCGACCTGCAGCATCGAAGATGAACCCCAAATACTTCACGGATTTCAAGAAAAGCTGGCACTTTTCCGGGCGTAACCGGAACCCGTTGTCGCTGACGCGTTGGAGCACGGCTGTTGTGCGTTCTCGTAGCTGTTCCGACGTTGTGGCAACAATGAGGATGTCATCCAGATAAGTTGCGACCCCCGGGATACCCGATAGAATGGTATCCATTAGCTGCTGGAAAATAGATGGGGCGGTTTTGACTCCAAACGGCAGTCGATTATATTGGAACAGGCCACGATGAGTATTAATGGTGAGTAGCTCTCTTGATTCTTCAGCCACTTCTACTTGTAGGTAGGCATCAGCAAAATCCAACTTCGCAAAGAACTTTCCTCCATTCAGCATAGTTAACAAATCTGCCGGGACTGGCAGCGGATAATGATGCTGTTCTAGGGCTGCGTTGAGACCTGTGGAAAAATCTGCACATATTCGGATCGTACCATTAGCCTTCTTGATAACAACAATGGGTGCTGCCCATGCGGAATAAGAGACAGGAGTAATAACTCCTTCACGTTGAAGGCGATTAAGTTCTTCCTCAGCTTTCTGTAATGCCGCATATGGTACTGGTCTCTTCGGACGAAAAGCAGGTTTGACCCCAGGTTTCAATCGAAGCGTTGCTTTCATGGCTGAGCACCGACCCAAAACAGGCTGGAAGACGGTCGAAAACTTCGTAACTAGTTCCTTTGAATAGGCTTCCGGGTCATGGGGTTGTTTTACTAGTTGATACACGGTGTTTAACGGGACGTCCGCTAAATGCAGTTGGTCAAACCAATCTAATCCAAGTAAATTAAGATCAACCGGTGCAATGTACCCCAGTGAATGTTGAATCGCGAAAAGACACTTCACAATGTAGTTGACCTAACAAACGTAACTACCGCATGCTGTACGAGGTTTTTGTGTTGTCGCCATACGTGGTCTGCCCATTTTAATCCAAGATTTTTGTGAAAGAATTGTTACGTCTGATGCTGTGTCTATTTGTAATCTGGGGTTGAATTCTGACAGGATGCTACAAGACTCAACGAATTTGTGCACGGCTTGGGAGCAGACTTTCTAGTACTTTTGGGGCGATTCGGCTTTTTATTTTGGCAAAACCCATCTTTGTGGCCCACAGCTTTACACTTCCTGCAACGATGTTGTTTATACGGGCAGCTTCGAACATAATGCCATGCACCACAGTGCCAGTATGGAGCAGGAGGATTCGTCTTTGCTTGTTGAACTGAGTTAGAGTGAGTCGAACTAGGTATAGCTGGAGCGGGTTTAACAGGTTTCGTTTGTTGTTGAACTACATGTACTTCAGGGCGATCAGAAACACCACGTTGAACCATGGTAGTGTCATGCTGCAGATTAATTAGACGTTGATATTCGTTAGCAATATCATTAAGAGTCAGCTTAGGGTCTTGATCCAATCGACTGAGCAACCGTGTTCTAATATCACTGAACTTTAGCGATTGGAGGGTGCAGATGAGAATGAGGGCTTTAAACTGATCTTCAGTTAGCGACTTCAACCGAAAGCGTTCGCATTCGCGGTTGACAATGCCCACATGCGTCAGAAAATCGGTGCCTTCGTTCATAGTCAGCTTCGAACATCGATAGCATGTGTTGAACAGTGAGGAATTATCTCCGAACTGTTGTTTCTGTTAGCAATGCTAAGGTTAGGCATAGGGTACTTGGTGAAGATAGCATATCCGTTAATAATGTGAACCTTCATCGACTGAGGTAGTTGGGACGTGTATCGCGTGTGGTTGACCATTGGCTACCCCGACGTACAATATTAAATAGAGTTAACGTAAGTTAGAAAAAAAAAACTAAGAGCGAACAAACCAAGATATTTCGTCAGTCAGCGTTGAACAAATTCATGATAGGTGCACACCACCTGTTTGGTGTCCGCATTATAACTTTAAATAGTGGCCAGTGATAATGGATGGAAAGACCTATAATTGGTCACAATATTTCAGATGCATCCACCCTTCATACAGTTTTCCTCCATACTGTTAGGGATGTTTAATCCCCCAAAAGTCAACATCGATTTAAGGTTAATTTTCAATAGATTATTACCATGATTTGTGTCTGGTGACAAATGCTTAGTTCATAAATTATAATCGATCTATAACCGACTAACTTGAATGTATTTTAATTCTAGTAAGGTAACCATCGCAAAGCTTTGATTGTGAAACTGACATTTTTACTCTAGTTAACAAGACAAGGAATAAGAGGATAGCAATGGCCTCGTCTGTTGTGTTGAAATTAAATTTGTGTACGAGTAGCTCAGCACGTGAATATATTACGTGTATAATTTTCCATTCCTTCCCGGATAATAATCTCAGTCTTTAGTCTTTTTCACTGTCCTTTCTAATGCAATTATGATGACTTGGGC